CTTGGATGCAGCCCTGTGCCCTGTGCTCTAGGTGACCCTGCGTGTGCAGGGGGGTTGGACTAGATGACCTCTAAGGTCCCTTCCAACCTTAAGCATTCTGTCATTCTATGACATCTAATCCCCGCTTCATTTACTATAAAGGATTTAAATGTTCTCTGAAATAAGATAAATAAATAGTAAAAGAAATAATATAAAATCCCTTGGTCTTCTCATGCATAAATATCATCTTTATGGGAAGACTTGATAAATCTTCTCCCAGTGACTTTTCCCTTCTGCAATTCCCTTGGCAATCCTTGTGCCTAGGAGGGATCTGAGCTGTCCTGTGGCACCCCAACACARGCAATCCATTAAAAGCAGGGGCACTAGGAGTTTTCTCTGCCTGTGCTCCATCAGGGCAAACTCTAAGCCTCAAACAAGGAGGAGCTGCTGTGTAAATCCCAGCCACAAACATGCATAGTTTGGAAGATTTGGGTGAAAACATGCTCCTGCAGTCGGTCTTGCCTTGGGAGGTTCAGAGAGTCAACATCTTCTGGAGAAAATCTGAGGCACTCAGCTCACCTATAGCTTAACACTTACTTGAATTGGGGTGCAGGGTTGCTCAAGACACCTAAAGGTTGGGATCCGATGTCCCTGCATCACTTTGGGGAACCGGTCCCTTCCAGAAGCACCCCACATCACATAGGATCTCTGTAAACATTTAAGCTACTATTTTAATCCTGAATTATTTTTCACAGAAGTGCACTGTTGCTCAGGCTTACATACAAGTAACAGGAGACTGGGGTGCCCTAACTGGGCAAAATAAAATGTTATTTTTTGATAATGTCGACCATCCTAATTTGTTCCCCATTTTTTTCCCCTACAGTTCTGCAAATTAAGGAAGCAGAAAGTAGACTCATTCMCTACTCTAATATATATCAAGTAGAAAAACCTCTACCTTTCACTGTTAAGCCAGTATAATGCAAGACTAGTGAGCATCTGTAAACACAAAAGATCAAAATTWAAGTAAAATTAATTTAGTCCAAAGCAAGCTAATAGCATTCAAAGACTTGCATTCACATGTGTTTGACATTTAGGTAGCTGTTAGTCATCTTCACTTAAGTTTGTAGCCTGTTATGTTTAGAAAAGGCCTTAAGGGTGTTGTTTTAAATCGGTTTAATTAAAATGATATAAAAAGCTGGGTTCCTCCTTCTAGAAGTGATTACAGTTCCAGCTCCATGAACTATCTGGGTATCAGCTTAGGCACAGTAATTGTGTGTGCAAGCCCAAACTGGTGGCAAACATCTGGCACAAGTGATTAATCCCATAGAAATCTGGCAAGAAACTAGCATGTTTATTATCTTATTTTAAAATCATCCCCTGCTAGGTCTATTTTCAATAGGTATAGTGCACAATCCTAGTAACAGTGACAAAGAAAAATGGAACCTAGAGAGCTCTTAACCTCAGTGGGTAGCCAGACTGCTTTACAGAAGTGTTGTTGGCATGACTACTTTCACAATAGTGAGAGAAATTCCCAGATTAACTAGATATGACATTTATTTCAACTTACAGGAACTCATTCATGTAGATAGTACTAAAAAAGGCAACTACAAATTCTAGGAAGGCCTTGTACACTCAGCATGTAATCCGAATGTGCCCCAACAGATCATACTGATTATCAACAAGCCTCTGCAGACAGGTATTTCCATGCACTGTTTCCAATTAAAATATGCATTATTTATCGTGGTAGAACCTTTACATGAATACGATGACAGTCCTCTGTGAGCTCTGTTACAGTCTCAGCCTATGCTGGGCCTACACTTTGTGAAACTAATACTCTATGAAACATTTCCTGACAGTAAAAGGAAGTAGAAGGAAAGGTTTATTGGTCTATACAGAAAGGAGAAAGAGAGAAAAACAAAGCAACCAACACGCACGTTCCTAGAAAAAATGTGCTCGGGAACTGAAGGGGACTTAGATTTGTAATACATATGACAGATGAAACTGGAAACTACTGTCTTTACAGATCTAGTATGTTTTTTTTWAAATGGTAAACCACAGTTTTATATAGTGGCCACTTTGATCTTTCATTAGGAGCTCTTCTTGAGTGATGAGGTAGATATATGGACTTGTGACAAAAGGTGAGAATTCTGATTCACA